GAATCGCGCGGGGAAGGGGAAACACGCGAGGGGGGACTAGCGGATAGCAAGGGGGGAAAAGGGACGGGGAGACCGGGGTCGGGGTGGGGAAAGATCGTCGGGGGTCGGGGGGGGGGAAGGAAAGAAGAAGACGAAGATAAGGAGATGAAGAAGAAGAAGAGAAAGGAGAAGAAGAAGAATCGGGAGGGAGAGGAAGAATCAGGGGGAAGAAGACTAATAAAAGAAAGAAAAGAGAAAAAGAAAAGAACGAAGATAATTGGAAGAAGAAGAAGAAAGAAGAAGATACGAGGAAGAAAGAAGAAGAAGAAGAAGAAAGGGAAAAAAAAGAAAATTGTCCTCGATTACTTGTCTGCGCAGTATAACGGCGTCGACAATGAGGATGGCACGAGATAGCGACGAGGAAGAGAAGCACGACGATGATGATGTGGCACCACGATGGCGATCGCAACAATGATGATGATGTTGTGGCACAGCCACGACCATCACGACGATGATGCTGATAAGTTTTCAAAGTGTTGAAAATGCGCTTGTACATGAAAAATGTGCTTCGTGGCACGATGGCGACGATCTCGACAATGACGATGATGGCGTGGCGACGGCGATCTCGACGATGACGATAATGACGTGGCACGACAACGACAATCTCAACGATGACGAGGATGACGGCCAGGCGATGATGACGAATCAGGGTGGGTCAGGCGGGTTCAAACCACTCCAATACCAGTGTAACGAGTGCGAGGCTGAGGGAGACAGGGAGAGCTGAGGGAGAGGAGAGAGAGAGAGAGTGCGAGCACACACACACACTCACTCACTCGACACGATCGAGGGACTTGACGGACGCAGACACAGTGGCAAAGACACAAAGTCGAAGTCTTGGGTTCCCAATGTCGAAACAGGGGCAAGTCACACGGGGTACGAGTACAGCAGCTGAAAACTGGTCCCAGACTCCCCCCCGTACTGTACGGGGAGTCGTTAAAGTACCGTTGACACGTACGGTACTAGGGGCATTTCCGCAAAAGCCCCGAGGGCAGAATTGAAAAATGCAGTATTTGAAAGTGGCGCCCGAATTGCAGCATGGCGCCAGTTGTCCAAAATCCGGCGGTACCAAAGGAGGGGTTTGGAAAAAAGGGTGCCAGGCCGAAAACGGGATGCGGCAGAAACAGCAAAAAGATAGACCAGGGATCGAGCCCTAGCGGAGTCCGTAACAGAGAGGGAGCAGCCATAGCTGCCCCAGCGCTGGCAGAGGGAAGGCAGCCATAGATGCACTAGTGCGTAGTAATTGGTAGTCGACCTTGGAGGGGGTTAGTAGAGTTAGCAGTGGGTGTATTCAGAGTTGGTCCTTGAGTAGAAGAGACGGTGAGAGCATGCAAGTAGGGAGAGAAGACACAGGGAGATAGTAGACAGAGAGAAGACTCAAAGAGAAAAGAAAACAGCAGTGAGAGACATACTTAACCGAATGAAGTTACTGGTTACTTGAACCTGCGCTGTTGAGCGCTTGTGACTGGAACTCTTAATTGCTCATATGATAATTTGTTGGAATTCTAAAGTTGTGTTTACCTGGTCTCCATCTCTCTAGCCTCCAGTGTAAACTTCGTGTAATCTCATTTATGCATGATGTGATTGCGTGCACTCATTGGTGATGAGTTGGGAGGTTCATAACATTTTTCTCGAATATTTAAAATTCATAAAATTCCTTTTCGAAAATTTTCTTCAATTTGAAAATGTATCATGATCAATTAATATTGTTTTTCGCAATTCTTTTTCAAAATTATCTTCCAAAATTCTTTTTGCAAGGAAGACGAGCAATAGCGAACTCCAGCAATCAAACAACATCATACATATGAGTCCAGATAGTCTTGACCTCGAACCAACACCAGAATTGCATCACAAGATTCACCAAATAAGAACACACCAAGAGTTCATAATTGACAATGCTGAAATAGTCCCATCATCATCAATGAAGAACCAGAGTTGATATCCTATCTGGCGCTCGGCGCCCAGACTACATGTGGCAGATCCTTGGGCGGGCATTTGCATTGAGTTGCTGACTTTTTCTTGGAGGGAGTGTCCACACTAGTGCGTCCTCTGTCCAAGCTGGCCCGTCATCGTGAGACTGCCCCTACGTGGTGTAGACTGGTTGAGAGGTTATGCTATCGACATGTGGGACAACAGAGCTTTGCTCTATCAGGGCCAATGAGTCACCGACTTCGAGACATACGTTGGTGATTACCTATTCGGTACAGGGGCCAGAGAAGGGGGTGCAGGGCACCACATATGACAGGATTGCTGACTACATATTTCGCAGGGAGAGCTATTGGAGGGATAATTGGCTACATGTGGTGTTTCCTCGCGTACCTTCAGCACCTGGGGGTGACTCTTGGACTTTGATGGGTGTAACTCCAAGCCCCTCAGTGAGTCTCGCAGCAAGGGGAGGAGGCGGAAGGACAACCGGATTAGGAGGGAGATAGCCAGATCCGGGGTTCCGATCACTACATGCGTACAGAGATCTGAGACGGATGAGTCCGACCAGGAGCCCTGCTGCGTGAGTGACATTGATTTTGGCGACTACTTCGACTGGGACACTCACAGGGACTGATTATGTGGACAGTAGCGGGAGCGCTGGAGACCGGTGAGCGGAGACGACGGAGAGCGACATTGAGGAGGATTGCATATCTTCTTGCACGGTATCTACTTGAGGGTGATTGACTCCTACATGTCAGACAACCCTAGGTCCAAGACAGTTATTGGTCCCCCAAGAGGGGGGGGTCCGGTCCCATATCTCGGAGATGGCTACAGTCATTTGGTCAGGACAAATTTTGCTATGCAGGCTTTTCGGAAGCCTATTTACGGAGATTGTTTTCTTGAGGTTTCTTACATCTACGCTGATAGGAGAAGGCGGATTGAGATATTGATTGGAGCTACGGGCGACATCACCCTCGCGGAGGAGCTTTATCTCAGGAGCGTTGCAGACGAGGAGATGGTGAGATGCATGGCCTATATCTGCAAGATTGATCCAGCAACGCCTCTTGATATCAGCTATGTGGTTCCAGAGTCGATAGCCACACGGGTTCTCAATGACGAGGAGGACCAACGAGTACCAGATATGGAGTCCCAAACAGCAGTACTTACTCACGAGGGGGTACCACTTATCATCATTGATTGAGGTTCTCTCTTTTCAGTCACTATGATGTATTACGACATTATTATTATTTATTAGTGACTGCAGCCCTACGATGGCTGCTCCCTGCTTACATTGTGTACTACTCTTCAGTCTCGTTTCTCTGGTCATGCTCTTGCAGAGTCTGGTTTTTGGTCTTCTCATTCTGTCAATGTCAATTGCTCTTTGATGTATGTATGCTATTTTCCTCCTTATGATA